ATTTGTGCTTGGCTTCAAAATATGTTAGAAAAATATAAAATTCGGTTGATACATTTTAAAGGTCTATAAAATCCGATTGATACTTTTGAAGGTCTATAAAATGTTTTAAAATTATTATGTTATTTCCGTTACTTATGTGATGCTATTAAAACCGCATTACTTTACGAAATTTACTATGATAATATCGTGTGTGACCCTGCAGTAACAGTGGGCTAAAGAGTTATAAGACGGTCCAAAATAATGTTTTAATGATATTTATTGGAAGGTCAAAGGGCAGAACCCATTATTAGTCTTCAAACAAATTATTGTACAACACATTTTATTCGTTTCTTTCCCTAGACTTTGAAAGTTTGTTTTTCGAGTAGGAGCACACTGGTACCATCAGTATTACCATTTTTTTAATGAATATAAATCCAGAAAAGCGCTTTGGACGCACGAAATACTAGTATATAAAGGGTTAATGATTTTCATTTTATTGAATGATGTCTAGACAATTTCAAGAGAAAAGGGCAAATATATCAAACATCAATACATCTTCTACGAAAATCAATGTCAACCTAACTCGAGCACCTGGTCTCGTTCCATTTAAAGTTTATGCAATTCGATTGAGCTTTTCTCATTAAAGCACCATATATTCACTAAGACATATGTTTTTAAATGTATGCACTATATATGGTCAATCGTAATCACTTATAATAAAGGCGACTGGAACAAAAAGTCCTTGAAGAGGACGAACAAGCATTATGTTTATTCTAGAATATAAATTGTAAAAGTAATGTTGATATCCTTTTTATCAAAGTATTCTTTAGAACGAGTAATGAACCAATATTTTGGATTTACACAGCACCAAACATCAAATGTATATACATTCATTCTGCAAACTTACAATTCTAAACTATTATTAAAATCAATTTTTAAACACTATAATGAGGTTATCAAAGTTTACCTGCAATTGTTTGATTCCTGGACAAATGTTGATTCAAAGGGTGGATTCAGTTTTAACCAAACTGGTTTTTTTTTCTGACAGTTATACGGTCAAGTATTAATTTTGAAAGTTCCCCCGTCAGCAATCTTTTTACCCCCCAACTGATAAGTCATTATAGTCAAATGGAATTACTAAACACGTATCGTGTGTTGGTGTAAGTTAACATTTTGCGTATAGTACTGCAGTTCTTATATACATTTAACAATACTTTCAAATGGGGAAGGGGGATTGAAAACCGCAAGTCAAAGAAAAACACCTTTAAGAATAATAGGCCATGAAAAATTACATGGAAACTACCATGTGTCGTATTGATAAACTATACATCTGAACTGAAACTTAACCCTGCCATAACAATAATCAATGTTTGTTGGTTGTTATCTGCCAGTATTATTGTGGTATAATTGAGACAGTAGGTATCTTTCGAATTGTTCCACATTTTGCCATCCAGGTGACTTTTTTTTTACCTTTTTAGCTTACTTCACGGTATGGTGACCTGTAATTGTTCACATCCGTGTTCTTGGGTCTTTATTTATAGTTGTATCTTTCGCAATCATATCACTCTCCTTATTTCTATTTACATGGTTGAAAAGACTACAATACATGTGTTAAAGTCAACTGAGTTCATTAGAACCAAAGTAACCACCATTTTTCATGTGTCGTTTTGAAATGATAAAATTTTAGAGACCAATGAATTAAATTGCCTTTCAGAGTTGAACAATTGTGAGGCATCGCATAAGTCGTCGATATAAATCAATTTATGTATGGCAGTATTTCAAAAAAATAAATGGAGAGGATTAAGGTAAATTGAAGACATCTTTAATGAATGGTATTCCTGTAACGATTATTCATAGATGCATACAAATCATTGACCTTCACACGTAATTTAAGTACGTTTCATTACGGACGAGGGTTTCGTGCTTTACTCACTGCATGTCGTTGCATAATAATGTAGGTTTATTGACGATTTTAATTGATTTTTTTGCACTTCATTTTACACGACCGTTTAACTTTTTGATATGTATTTAAGTAATTCATATAGCAATACTTGTAAATATAAATACGTGACATAGAATTTCAATTAACGAGTAGAGAAACATTTTCGCTGCAGAAAGTATCCCAAAAATTATCGTGCAATATCACCAATTATTGCACCCTTTGCAATATTTCCCCATTAAATTGGCTAACTTATCAGTTGGCACATGGTGTTATAATCAGTTTAAAGTTTTGCCTAACAATTAAAGGGATATTCACTAATGTTAGTAAAAGTTAACCCCCGCAAAATATTAAATCCACTCGCAAGCTTCTGCAATATAATATTTTATTTCGGCCTTGACCCTTTGTTTGAAATGTTTGCCGAGTTGTATCATCTGCAATCTGTTCTGTTTGTTTCAGCCATGTCTAAGTTTATAGTCGCTTATAAATAATAAATTCACATTCTTTGTACTACTCCTTTTTTTAAATCGTACGTCTGAAATTGCTAATTATTTTTTTCGAAAATTAGTAAGCGGTTTTAAAAGCTCATTTTAAAGAAAATAATTCCTAGACTGAAGGGACTGTCCTTATCACGCAAATCATATATCATGAATATTAAAGAAAGTGAAACAAACCTATTGAATTTTCTTATGAATGTTTCTATGATAACTCTAGTGGAAAGTCTTGCTTGAATAAAGCCAACAAAATTTCGTTGGCTAATCAATATGGTATCAATTCAGTTTGATGAAATCACTTTCATTTTATGGTTTAACGGGTAATTTGATTCTTATTCGAACAAGATAAAGAACAAGAAAGTAGCACGAAAACGGGAATAACGACAAAGAAACAAGTACTTTGTAAAAGATATGCGAGTGCTTGACCTAAAAACAAAGTAACCTTTTAAGTCAATGAACTTAGTTTTGCAGAAGTAATGATAATGATTTTTTTCTAAGGAAACGAAGCTGCATTATATAAGTCAAATCAAAACGAAGACAAAAAGAATTTGAATATGAACTGTGGCTAGATGATAAATATCATAGATTACTAGTACCCGAAAAAGCAACATGTGTCCAAATCTGAAACATAAGCCTATATAAATTGTCATACATTTAATTGAAGCCCGTTATCAGTTCAGTGGGGAAATATCTCGCTCATCAAAATTGTAATTCCAACTGAAAAATACAGTCGCGTTGGTACAAAATGTAGATTGTATATTTTCTAGATTTAGAAAACAAAATAACAACTGCATTTTGCATACCCTAGTTGGGTTTTGATTATTTTCCCGAAAGAATAATCATCGAGACGTTTGTTACTTGCAAAGTGAACGAGGTTTAGGACTAAGCATCTACTCCGAATGAAATTCCACAAATTGATTGCTATTTTGGAATTGCACATTTTAAAAATTTACATTTTTGCACATCTCTGATGTCTGTCTACAGCGAGTTATTAAACCAGGTTATGAATATAAATCGTTAGCCTCGCACTTAACTCTACAGAGGTGAAAATCTATTATATATTTTAATATGGATCATAATTTGAATCAAGCACATACATACATGATAAAGCGTCAACAGTCTCTTCTGCAGATAAAGGTGAAAATTAGGATGATTATATATTGATGTAAAATTGTAAATAATGAATCAAAGCTATGCAGTTTATTTTATAGACTGATGTTTGGTTTAAAGCCTAAATCTAAATACACCTTTAAATGGGTTAATTTTATAGAAGCAATATTAAACAGTACTGGCATTGGATATATTTTTGCCAATCAAACGGGCTACTGTGATAAAATGTACTTAAAACAAATACTTTGTGATCAGTTTGTACAACAGTGGTTTAGTGATATTGAAAACTCATCACAAGGACAATTTTACTCGATATTTAAAAAACGATTTTACTTTAGAAACATACCTTCTAAAACATCCTGAATATTGCAGGCTTTGGATCACACACTTTATGTGTTCAAATCTGCGTCTGCCTATTGAAACAGGCAGATGGCAAAATATTCCGAGGCATGATAGAATATGTACTCTGTGTAGGGGTAATATTGGTGATGAATTTCATTTGTTATTTAAATGTACTAATCAAAATATTGTTGTTTTAAGGGAAAAGTTTCTACCAAGCTACTACACAGTCAAATTCTAATTATAAAAAAATGGAAAGTCTGCTTTCAATATGTAATGTACAACTGTATAAACGACTTTCTGTATTTATCAAAAACATTGCCAATATGTTCTGAAAATGTTGTTAAACATATTTGTATATTATTGTTATATCTATATGCTATATCTATATTGTTGATACCACATGTTTACTTCGTCATGTTTATGTAATGCTATTATTAATGACCTCATGTTACACATGTATCTGTGTCTGAGTGTTCAAATAAAATCTTGAAAATCTTGAAATCTTGTTCAACGTGGATGCAATTATTCAACATGCAAATACCATGTTTTGCTTTAAAATTTCAGGTAAATGTCTTTTCTAAAACTCACACATTGAAAGTGCGAGATTAATTCTTGGGTAAAAAAAAACATACGAAAAAAGACTCTGCATCAGAAAAAAATATAAAGTCAACCCAGTTCACATTTTATTATTTACGTTCAATGTTAGTTAACTGCGAGTTTTTTCTCATCGTGGTTTTAGTTGTATGTTGTATTGGCAAACTAGATTGATTTTTTATGCATTTGCAATGTACAATACAGATTTTGTATTATACTCTTGCAATGCATTATTAATTTCTTTTTTTAATTATAGTTATGGATGACTGTCAATATAAAAACTGTAAAACAAAATTAAATGCGTGAATTTGGACGTTCTCTTAAAAAAATCTTTATACCTTTTCAAAATGTTGAATTTAATTGCGCTACACGTATTAAATAAAGTTATCCATCGTTTGATAATTGATTATCGGTCTTTGATATTCTTTTTATATTTTCTAAAAGGTAATGAAGTTGTTTGGAATAAATAAATAATAATAAAAATAAAAGTAAAATAAATAATAAAGTTCGTACGTTATAAAGAAAAGATCAAAAAGACTTACCTTATTCATTCACCATATTGACAATAATCCGCCACTTCAAATAAATTCCACATATAACATCAAATTTAAATCTTATTCCGCTGTTAAAGGTCTCGAATTGTTTGTATTGTGCAACAAGGTGTTACAAAGAACTAAAAAATATTCTTCAGGGCATAACACTTAGTAATTAACTGCTGATTAATAATGGCTCGTTCAGTTCTGCTCATGCTTTACTAGGTTTAAATATCGAATACAAATGGTACAAATGATTTTATCAATACTAAATTGACACGAGATTTAATACCTTTTCTAATCTTTTTTGTATGGCAGTTTACCTCCTCCTTTTTAATAAGCCAAATACGTTTGAAAAAATTTCAAAATAAAGACATTCTTTAGACTAAATTTTATCAATCTTTGATAAAATTATAACGATCTCATTTATTGATTAAAGTTTGAATTAATCCCAAAAGCAATACAAACTTGTCACAAACACTACAACGAAAGGTTAAAATAGTTGAAGTGTCTCGTCTGTAAACGCTGTAAGCTAGCGTGAATTGCTACGATATCAGAAGTGTTGGCATGAGTTTGTCATTTGCCCAAGTTCAATAAAGCTACACCATGATGAAAATATTCACCTTGAAATCTTGGTTGGAGGGATAACAAGAGTCTTTAATACAGTTAAGTGTAAAAAACAAACACTTTACACTATGTCACATCTTTGACTTTTTGTTTGATGTTATTTTATCATCTCAACATGGCTTATCCCACGGTGTCCTAACAACAATACTTATGCAACAACTTTATATTGGAGGGTTGTGTAAAAACCTTGTTTTGTGGAATAAGGTCAGGAATATGATATAAATTCGTCAGTTGATGTGTTCAAAGTTTCCCAATTTTACAATTAATGTGCTGGTTTTAAATTTTTGCATATTGATACTAAAACACTAGATACGAGCAACATCTCTTAGATTAATTTTTAACCTTTCATCGTCATCGAGCAGCATTTGAGCTGACAAAATATGTAACACACATATCCATTATATCGACAGCAAAATACCAGTAAAATTGGTATTCATTTAACCACTCTGTATTAAGATAAACATTGTACAAAAAAATAATCAAAACGTGTTTCCTGACATGCCAAATAACTATTATAGATAGCTGCAATTAAAAAAAGAATTTCGAAACTTTGGTGAAATGATATGTGGGACGCAACGATCTAAGGATACCAAATGTAAAAGCTCATTGAATTGGTGAAATATTTGTAAAATGAATGTTTGTATGAAACTAACGACTGAAATTGTTGAGTTTACCTCACAACATGAACATTGCTTGATGTAGTTAAGCAACACTTTCTGTACATTTGTTTAATAACATGGTGGAAAGTTCTACCATCGGAGGAAGCCTTTGTGAACCAACAATCTTTGGTATATACAAAGATGTTAATCGAACATTGCTCATGTTTGGCAATTGACCAGTCTTTGAATCAAACCCCTACACCAGCTTTATTAAATTTCAATAGACAAAGATATATTTGTAACTGTAAGTTTTGATTATGGACCAAAAGCTTTGTCCATAATTTAAATATGTAGGCCCAGAAAACTCAATTATTTTTGAAGTTTTTCTGTTAAGACGAAATGAATATACATTTTACTTTCCCCGTAGAAAAAAGTATATATAAAAAAAACAACACAAGCTCAAGTTATAGTTTTTATTTAAGCTTATATAAATCTCTCATTTCACAATTATCACTATGACAGTTTTACATTCAAGTTCCATACTAGTATTTCAACTATGACACGAACAAAGCATTAAATAATCTTGTCTTTAAAATTACAATATTCTAATATCATAATTCTCCTAACAATTTCATATGATTTCTCGGGCTAACATGTCAAAAATGTTAATCTTTATCTAAATAATTTGTTGGACATTGAACAGTTTAAGTGATAAAAACAGTCACTTGACCTAATGACCCTATGAATAAATATTGTGTTTATCCAAACTTCTTATAGTAATACTTAAAATTGATAATCATTTGTAAGTGGTCAATAGTCTCGAACACTAAGCAAATATTATATTATTATTTGGTTTTAAATTTAAATACCGTATGTATGACCTAAACGATGAAGTGACATATCTAAAATTATCTCGAGACTCAAGATTTATGCCCCAACCTTTAAAACATTTTTTTCTTTCGGCGGCTATTTTTTACTGACTTTTGCTATTGCTTTTATTGAAATCAAAATAAGATAAGGAGATGTGGTATGATGCCAATGATACGACATTCCACCAGAGGCCAACAGACGTAGATGTTAGAAACTAAAGGTCACCGTACGGCCTTCAACAGTGAGCAAAACCCATACTGCAAAGTAATCTATAAAAGGCCTTGACAAGACAAAATGAAAAACCATTTAAACGAGAAAACCTACATTTATGTACAAACCAACAAACGAAAAAAAATATATGATATACAGCAATAAACGACAACCACTGAATAACAAGCTCCTGACATGACAACTCTATACTATTACAATCAGGAGAAAACATGTTAATAGTCTAAGCGTGTCCGCTCTTAAAGCATGCTCTCTTTTAAAATGGTTGTTTAAGCTTCATGTGAAAACAAATTTTGCATTTGATCAATATTGAAACTTACCAGAGACATAAATAGTACCACAATCATGAGACCCTTAAATCAGAAGATCAATAAATGCCTAAGAGATTTTGTCATAAATAAAAACATGACACTACACAAATGATGTTTTACGTCGAATCTACTTTTCAGAAGCTTTTTGCCCCTTTCGAAAAACTCAAGCGTAATGTACAAGATGTTTCGACAACAGTACAGTTTTGAGGGATCTTAAGTAATTTCTCTATGGAATGCTGGGAACGAGATTTACGAGATTTTCTACTTTCCAATCTCGAGTACTATACATGTTTCTAATATACTATAAATACTGCATATGCCTGTATGTTCCCTCGGTAAACATTTTTTTAGTATTATTTTGACAGAATTGAACTATGTATTTGGTCTATCTCAGATCGAATGTCATTTTGGCTGTTTTTGAATGTTTCGGTTACCCAGAAAAAGCGATTCGGACGCACCAAATCATGAACATCTAATAATTTCCCATTTTGTATGCATATAACCAAAAAAGGTATGACAAATATATTGAACTCCAAGGCAAAACATTATTGCTAAACGAACATATTGCAATCGATGTTTTGCAGTTGGGTAATGTTTATTTTGTCTTTAAGAAAACCTGTTCCAGGGTTTTATACCTCATAACGAATCTTTAATTATGGTACACTAAGTAGTGCTACACATGTAAATGATTTATTCAAAATTATATCCTATTTTCTTAAATTTCGAACAATGTTTCGCTCTCGAACATTGAACAACGATGTTTGTTTAGGGTACAAGTGGCAATTCAATATAAATATATAATCTACTATTTCAACAAAATATGGATTACTTTTGAGAATAGTGTTGTATCTTTAAACAATTCGTTGAATCCGTGCACGTCCCACAGTAACATATTCTTTAATTGAAACAATATTTTAGACTTGTTGCTTAGTTAAAACTGTTACATAAAAAAGCCTATTAAGAACAGTAAAAAGAAGTAGGCGTTTCTTATACATAATACGGTACCAGTTTGTAAACATTCTATCAAATTTATCAGCACTACCTGTGTGGAAGTCAATACATTTGTTATTTTGAGATAAAAGCAGATCAATAGATTGGGGTTTGAATTCATGAAAAGAGCTGTTCAAATGTAGTTAGTAACTTATTATACCATATTGTTCACGACAGACCTATGTCGACCTTTATTAAGAGAAAGAGAACTGAGAATATTAGAAATCATCTTGAACACTTGAATCATTTGATCTATTATACAAGCAAGTCACCCTGAAGTATGATGGATTTTTTATATTGAATTTCTCAAGTGTTGCCTTTGCTTCGTCCTACATGATACTTTATTTTACCGGTTGAAAAGATCTTAAAATTTACTTTACTCTATGATATACGTATAAAAGAAAGCACATAGAACTGCTTTGTTAGTTGGTGACCTTTAATTAAAGAATTGATTTTTGAACATTTTGAATTGATGACTGGCATGAAATTAAAATTAGAATTGTACACTTGGTACCCTTTATTACTATCCTAAACGAGGGTACCGAAGGGAAACTTACATTGAACATATAGACAATATAGAGAACAACAAATAGAATTAACGTCATCTTATTGACTGGTTTGAGTGGAATGGTAAGTTTATTGTCCCCCGAGGTGCAACTATTGCCCTGAAGCGTAGCCGAGGGCAATAATTGTATCCGAGGGGACAATAAACTTACTATTCCACGAATATCCAGTCAGTAAGTGTTTTATTATACCGAAAGAGACAACAGGCAATAAATGTCGGGGTTTAATCAACTATTGTAGTATGAAAAGCAGAAACACAACCATACTGTTTGACGTTTACTTCATATATATTCTGAATGCTAAGGCTACGTCACGCACTGACGTCATTCCTAGATATAATAGTTAAAAAACGCGACGTTGTAACTCCCGCGGTATTCTCAACATTCTCTAATCCCGTATCTGCAGTTGAAATTCCGCGAAATATAATGACGCTTGCGGTCAAATAGTTTCATCGAGGGTCAATAGTTAGTTAGAAACTATTGACCGGTCAAATAGTTCAACGCTTGCAATTTGAAAAATAGTGAAAATATTGTGCACTTATTTTATATAGAAAATGATAACTGAGGTATAATAATGTATATTAGCGTACCGAAGGAAACGTTGCATTGACAATCAAGCTGTGCGAATTCGCTGGATATGGAAACACAAAATAGAAGGCAAACACCGACACATTATAAATCTAAAAAGACAAATTTAAACGTGTGTACGTACAAAAAAAGTTTCAAATAAACACTGAACAACGAGTTCTTTAGCGTTGGACAATAATTTAAGATTTAGACGAGCCCCTATTGAAATCGAGTGCAGGGAAGCGGTAGCTAGAAGGTAGCCAAAAGTCGAAAATAAAAAGAAAATCAGAATGAGTGAATCAGAATCCTGCTGCATATATAAAAGCTGTCGTGTTACGCATAATAAGATAGGGTCAGTTATACAGGGGTGACTTTTCTTTCTTTAAAAATATCATAACATACATACAAGCTTCAGTTATTGTTTCTATCCATGTACCGGTT